CGCAGCGTCTAGGGCTGTGCCTTCCCTGGCCGGTCGGTGGCCAGCGCCCAGCTCTCCTGCTCCCGCACCGCGCGCCCCCCGTACCGGGTTGCGGGGAGGTCTGCGGCCCCACCTCCCTGGCTCGCCGCCTGGTGTCACGGGCCGTGGGAAAACTCAGCTCCGCGCGGATAAGCTCTGGGTACCAGCGAGCTAGACAATGCTGGGACCCCAGAAATGCGGAGTTAGGAGAGTGTAAGTACCACAGGCCCAGCTTACAAAACCAGTAGGCCGCACCTCAGGGACAAAGTACAGCTCCCCTGGTGGCTTTGTAGTCTTGGCTCCTGTCTCCCTGCCCTCTCATCTTGAGCCTCCTGAGGCCTCACACTCCAGTGTGTGTCAGTCATTTGGAGGACTTGCTGCTGTTACCCCCAGAGTTTCTGCTGTGGTGGGTGGAGTATGGGGGCGCCAGGACTACAATTCAGCAAGTTCCCAGGTGATGGTGACGCTGCTCCCCTGGGAAGCTCCTGGAGCATCTCTGCCCTTCCTCTCTCTAAGTCGTCCCCTTTGCCAGGTGCTAGCAGCTGTTCCACCCCCTCCTGTACCCCACTCCCATCTATGGCACCTTCCCCAGGTGCTCTCTCCCACTGGATCCCGTATCTGTGGGATCCATGAGCCTAGAGAGCTTGGCCTTATTCAGCTTGGGATCCTTAGCCTGGCATTGACTCAATAAATGCAGCAAAAGAACGAGTGGATGAACCCAATTTCCTGTTTAACCAGCTGACCCTAACATTCTTAGAGAACCTGGCAATTTCGAGTATAGCATAGACAAGATCTGAACATTTGCAGCCCTGCTGGCAGGTCAGTGGAGAGAGGGAGCGCTGGGAGAGAGAAGCGGTACCTCCCTCCCCAAGACAGGTGCATGCCTACCTAGCCCTAACGCGCCAGCAGAAGAAAGAACATAAAGAGCAAAAGCAAGCAGGAGGATGTGTGAGGAATACTTTAAGAACCACTACAGAGGCTCTCCCTGGTGGCACAATTGGTTAGGATGCATCCACTTCAGTGCAAGTTCAATCCCCGCCCAGGGAGCTGAACCACATGGCCAGGCAGACCTCTCCTCTCTCACCCGCTGCTCCCCTCAGCAGTGTACTTCTTCGATCTGCCTGTTCTTCTCCCCACTCTGCTCTGCTGAATCCTCTCACCGCCCCTGTATCTCTGGCCTGTACCCCAGTTCTGTATGCATAAACAAATAAATCTTAAACAAAAAACCACTACAGAAAGGTCTGTAGAAAAAGGAACAGTTAAAAAATAAAAAGTTTAAATAAAAAGGGCCCTCCCTGGTGGCGCAGCGGGTTAAAGCACAGCACAAAGAAGCTTAAGCCATTTCCGCAAGAGTTCTATTCCCGCCTGCCCTAAAGGAGATTCACATGGTGTGGGCCTGCTGCTCCCCTCAGCAGTGTACTTGGTTGATCTGCCTGTTCTGCACCCCACTCTGTCTCTGGTGAAACCTTTTACCCTTTGCATCTCTGGCCTGTACCCCAGTTCTGTACAAATAAATAAATCTTTTAAAAAAATTTAGAAACAATGATGAAGGGGGTTTGAAGTTGCCAGAAAATTATCTTGGTTAGGGAATCTAAACTGTGATGAGTTCAGGAGATCCAGTTATTTGGTGTCATTTAAATAAAACCTCCTTTAATCAAATCCTACACCTTTGTTATCTACAATCACCCATTCTGTAGTGTTAGTTAAATGGGAGGACTGTACACAGTGTTTCAGATGACAGTTTAGCTACTTAAGAGAAACTACACTTCAAGGATTTTGGAAAACATTAGTTGACATGCCAGCAATTGATATGCTAATTAAATATTGATCTTGTGTGCTCATTATCATGTCCCCTAGGAATTTCTACCTGTCAATACTCCCCCTCCCAGCAATAAAAATAGCTTTATTTCCTTTGGATTATTTAAACAATACATACACACATTTAACATCAAAAACAGAAACACATAAGGAAAAAGGTAAAATCCCTTGCAATTCCACCCCCTGAGATAATCATCACTATTTTGGTGCCCATCCTCCCATCTCTTTATGTGTACAGAATTTGCATGTATGTGGTCACATCACACACATTTATTTATTTATTTTTAAAAAGATTTATTTATTTGTGCATACAGAACTGGGGTACAGGCTAGAGGTGCAGGGGCAGTGAGAGGATTTACCAGAGACAGAGTGGGGAGCAGAATCAGGCAGATCCATGAAGTACACTGCTGAGGGGAGCAGCGGGCGGGCCAGGAGAGGTCTGCCGTGCCATGTGGGTCACCTCCGGGGCAGGTGGGATTCGAACTCATGCTGATGTGGCTTTAGTTTCTTAGTGTTGTGCTTTAACCCTCTGCGCCACCAGGGGGGGTCCACGCACATTTCTTTTTTTAAATACAGATTTTAAAAATATTTCCCTTTTCCCTGGTGGCGCAACAGGTTAAAGCACAGCACTATGAAGCTGTCTACAGCCACTGCAGCACGAGCTAGATCCCTGGCCAGGGACCCATGGGGCACAGCAGACCTTTCCTTTCTCCCCACTGTTCCCCTCAGCAGTGTGTTTCAATCCATCTGCCTGTTCTACTCTTCACTCTGTCTCTGGTGAATCCTCTCACCAGCCCCACCTCTGGCCTATACCCCAGTTCTGTATATATAAATAAATAAACCTTAAAAAAATATTTCTCTTCCATTTCATTCTACTCTTTTGCTTTCTTTATAATGTTCTTCTTTTCATCTTTTTCTGTAACAATTCTCTCACAAACAGCATTTTTTTTTTCACTGAGGGAGAGTACTGTCACATATAAAAGTTTGGATCACTTTACATATACGTCTTTGCCTTTTGCTTTT